ACTATGCTGTGAAAGGACCATGTTAATTGCTCAAACAGAAATTCCTCTCTGCCAATTCTGAGCACCAGTTAAAGGTGAACTCCAGTCCTGCCTTCAGTCTTGCACAGACATACCGGCTCCATTCTTGGACTGAAATTGTTTACTCCGATTTCACTGCGTACAGGGAGCGTCTCACAATGTGCATTAGGCCTCATTCACACGAGAAAATGCCAGCACGTACAGCTCTGTGTTGCATGCACGGCCGTATCGGGCAGCACCCGGGAAGGACAGGTGCTGTGTGTGATTAGTACGCAGCCCCTGTCCTTCTCTATGGGAGTATGCGGCCGTACGCCGCCCTACGCTCACCCATCCTGCAAGTCCGTGCTGGTGTCCATACTCGTACGCTGAAAGGATGGATCCTGTCTGCGTCCGAGCCGAGACACGCACCTGTACGGACCTGCACTTGGGGTGAGCTTAGGGCGGTGTACGGCCATGTACTCCCATAGAGAAGGAGGGGCTGCGTACTAATCACACGCAGCCCCTGTACTTCCCGGGAGCTGCCCATACGGCCGTGCATGCAGCACGGAGCTGTATGTGCCGGCCTTTTCTCATGTGAATGAGGCCTTGGAAGCTGCAGCAAGTCAGATAGAACCTGTCTCATTTCTTGGCTGGAGAACGTCCAGCATCATCTAGAATTCTAGAACTTTCCTGCCCAGCCTGACTGTCCCTGGCCCTCAGTTCTTTCAACCATGGAGGGTTAGCATCACATGTGGACATTACCTAGGGCAGTCTGCATGCACATACAGTCAGCCAAGCACACCCACTCCTCCAGACCGACACCGATCCATCAAGACATTTTACTATTTGGATCACTCCTCCCAAGAACCAACTCACTACTTGCATCAATGTTAAAGAGTCTTGAAAGGAATATTGAGGCCCCTCCCACCATCCATGATCTGTCTGCATTGCACAGAGAAGCACAGGAACCCAGAGATGACATCACTGGGTCTAAAATAAGGTATGTAATTAAATGGAAAGGTTTTACTTAAAAATATCAGTAGCATGTTGATGAATGGGGGGAGGGAGGAACGAGGGAAGGCCAAACATATAAGCAGATTAAACGTCAGCTTTAACGTAATCCTGTCATTACAGAAAAACAAAGGCTGCCATTGCTGACCTCCTTACGAACAATGTTAGTTCCCTGACTGTTATGGTGACATACTAGCTTTCCTACTATAGGAGCCATTGTCCCAGAATAAGAAGTCAAGGAAAGTCAAAAGACCTTTTCTGCATACTTGTAGTACAAGGTATTAAAATGTAAAGGAAAATAGAGGAAATAGCATTTGCAGTAGGTGAGGTCAGCCACCACGGGCTCCTTATCTGTCTTATGACTGGTGTCCTTTAAAGTGCATCTAAAGCCAAAACTTAGTTTTGGGTAGATTAGGGAAAGGCTAATACTCTGTTGATTATAATATTTTCCTTATTTGTCCCATTAAAGAAATTACCATTCACTTACTGTTCCAGAGACACAAAAGAAAGCAGAAGAAAGTCCCCCTAAAATGGGGCGGAAATACTCTGAAAATGTTGTCTGTGGAACGGGTGTCCCCATTGGAAGATTTTTGTTATAATTTCCTGTTCTGGTGACAACTATAAAATTCTGGAATGTCCAGTCATGGTGTCAATGGTCACCAGGACAAATACAGAGGGTAAATCTACTGAGTGGTGGCATCAGGTCATAGGTTACCACCCTGTGCAGCAACTCTGGTTCATCCACGGTACTGATGGCACAGGATGTTAGCTGGCCATGTGAACCTGGCTCTAGTATCTTGGGACCTGTATGTTCTCCTTCCCCCCTCAGCTTGTGCTTCACATTGATGTGTCGGTGTCCTCCCTCTTTCCAGAAACCTGTTCGTAAACAAGTTGTCTTCCACACCTGTGAGCCGCGGTCTCCTCACCTGGCCCATTTAATAAAATATGGCATGTGGTTGAGAAGATTAAACGTGTAGTAGGAATATCGAGTGATCTCTGTCACAGTCCACACGATCAGGAAGAGAAGAACGCTCTGCTCATTCTGGATCTGAAAACAAAAAACACACAAATGCAGGATGTTAGTTTTTGGTGCAAACGATCGTGTCAATACTATACCTTAATCCAAAATGTCCCCTAACCGGTAATCTGATCCTAACATGTGGCACTTTTCTTATCCAAAACTTAAGACTTAACACTTCCCCTATCTGAACCATAAGATGTAACCTTCCCCTCAACTGAACCCTAACACTTCCCCCTTCTACTTCCTGAACCCTAACACTTAACTCCTTTCCTACCTGAACCCTAACACTTCCCTCTCCTCTTACCTGAGCCCCAACACTTAACCTTCCTCCTACCTGAACCCTAATGATTACCCCTTCTACTACCTGAACCCTTAAGCCTCCTCGTACTTGAACCCTAACACTTAACTCATCTCCTACATGAACCCTAACATGTACCTCTCCTACTACCTGAACTTAACACTTAACCCTCATAGTACCTGAACCCTAACACTTAACCCTTTTTGTACCTGAAACTTAACACTTAACTCCTCCTACCTGAACTCTAACACTTAACTGTCTTCCGTCCTGAACCGCAACCCTCTTCCTACCTGAACCCTTACACTTACTTCTAGTCGTACATGAACCCTAACACTAAACTCCTCTCCTACCTGAACCCTAAAAGTCTCCCCTCCTACCTGAACCTTAACACTTAACCCTCCTACTACCTGAAGTCTAACACTTAACTATTCTCCTAGCTGAACATTAACACTAGAATGTACCCTTGTCCTTACCTAACCCTATAGGTGCCCATACACCTTACAACCATCGCAAGACTTTTGTCTTGCGATGGTTGTAAGCTAATTAAAAGCTTGTACGATCTGCCCATCTTGGACAGGCAGATCGTACTTGTGATCATCGCAAGCCGCGCCCCCCTGAGGGGCGGGCTTGAGATGACTGCAATGAGGGGCAGGCTTCTGATGACTGCAAACGGGCGTGCGCACACCGGCCCGTTCGGCAGTTGTCGAACAAGCAGGCCACTAACAAGCCTGCATGTTCGACGGAAGACGTGCGACCGTACAGTAGAAATGGTCGCACGCCTTCCATACACTTTGCGATTATCGTACGATCGCGGGATTTCCCGCGATTCTCGTACGATAATCGTACAGTGTATGTGCACCTTTACACTTAACCATATTCCCTACCTAAATCCTAATGCTTAACCTAATCTAAAAAAATAAAACCTTAATTCGTAATCACTTAACTATCCCTTTGACTTAATCTTTAATGTAATCCTAAAAATTAACCCTTAAAGTCTAATTAAACTTTCAGTTTAAATCAGCTAAATACATACTAGGTGTATCAAAGTAAAGGGTGTGTAAAGGCTTACAGTTAATTTGCCTTAAGCCTAGAGCCACACTCTGGGCAAAATGATAATTTACACTCTGCACTGGGTGTGTAAATTATCATTAAAAAGCTGTGTGCAGAGGAGAGGTGCAAAGTATAAAAATCTTACCTTGCTGCACACCATCCCCTGCACATAATGGCAAGCTTCTGGGTACTGAAGAGCGGGAGAGATGCGACCCAAGATGCGACCCAAGCTGTACAGCTGTTCACTTAAAAAAGTGAGAAGAGTGAGGTGCACCAAGCAGCTTCAGCTCTCCTGCTCTCTATGCTGTATCTGGTGCAGACACAGCATAAAAAATGGAGCAGATCACTCCTATTTAGCAAAGGGGCTTGGTCCCCTTTGTTAATCAGGAGCAGGATCTGCTCCATTTTCTTAGTTTAGAAAAGTGCAGCGGTCTTTACGCATGCACCACCCTTTGTTAATCCCCCCCAACAAAGTTTATCTCTAAAATAAAAAACATTGTATTACTAAATAAAAGGATTTTAAACAATAAAACAAACACAAATGTAAATAAATTGACAAAGGGACCTTTTAAACCAATGTAAGGGAGACTTCTCCACTGATCACCAATGCACCGATGTAGGGGGGACACTTTTCACTGTCTGCATTTATTTTCTGCCCATAATAATTCAATTTGTGATAAATTACTGAAAATAACTTTGTCATACAGAGCAGGAGGGGGTTAAAAATATTAAATATACAAAGTAAACACCACATTCATTCTTCTTATTGCTTATCCTGGTGTGTGCACTATCTGCAAGGAGTTTACATGTTCTCCCTGTGCTTGCGTGGGTTTACTCTAGGTACTCCAGTGTTCTCCCACACTCCAAAGACATGCTGGAAGGTTAATCGGCTCCTGTCTAAATTAGCCCTGTATGTATGCATGTGATGTAAGGACCATAGATTGTAAGCTCCTTGAGGGCAGAGACTGATGTAAATGTGCAGTAATTAAATCGCTGCGTTAATTGCCAGATCTAAATAAATACCTATATTCAATAAATAAATAGATAAAAAAATAAATTCCTATTGACTACTGTCTAAACTGACCCTAGTATGAGTGAATACCTAAGCTCCTTGAGGGCAGGGACTGATGTGAATGAATACTATGTAAAGCACTGCATACATTGTCGGCACTACTGTATATACATACCTGTAAAAAAGAAAAATATCTACAGCTTACTGATCTTGTCAGTGTACTCTATGCTGAAGATATAATCATTTTAGCAAGGGTTTCCTAAAGCATAAACATTTTTTCAAGGGTTCGTTTGTAGTTAAAAAAAAGTTACGACTATGGAATATTGTTACTATGGAATATTGTTCTTTATTAAAAAGATGTTCAATGTACTGTACAGGTGAAACTCGAATAATTAGAATATAGTGCAAAAGTAATTGCAGTAAGTGGTGCAAAAGGGGCCCAAACCAAGTACTGAGTACATATGCATGCTTGTACTTTTCAGAGGTCCGATATTGTTCTATGTACAATCCTTGTTTTATTGATTGCATGTAATAATCTACTTTTTTGAGGTTGTGGATTTGGGGTTCTTGGGGTTTTCATGAGCTGTAAGCCATAATCATCACAATTATGACAAATCACGGCTTGAATTATCTTGCTTTGCATGTAATGAGTCTATCTCATATATTAGTTTCACCTTTTAAGTTGCATTAGTGAAATAAATGAACTTTGCACAATATTCTAATTATTCGAGTTTCACCTGTATATCAGACTTCCATTATTTAGGTATTATCTGTGTGACAAGTCCACCACCTGGTGGAAAGCATGAAGCATTACAGGATGCAAGCCCACACATCTGCTAGACTGCAATTCCTGGGCATGAACTGAATTAATTGTGCCATCACCAAGCAGATAATAGTCATCATAGAATCTAAACTCTATGGTGATCACAAGGCTTCATTCGTAGCAATGGAGAGGACACCGTGTAATGACATTCCACTATAGAGGGCACATATTACTACTGATCATCTACCATGCTGTGACTACACACCACATACATAGTTGCCCACATTTTAAAATGAATTTCATGACACGCTCTGCTTTTGAGCTAGTGAACTGAAAGCATATCTAAAGACATTTTATCTTGAAGACCCCTTTCACACGGGGTGTCCGATCGTGTCCACCTGTCATTTTTTTAGGCGGACCCGATCAGATGCCCAATGTGAGTCTATAGGCAGCCTGGTCTAAATGGTTGGGCGTCCGTTTACACCCGGTCACCCCCTACTTCGGCCAGGTTCAGAAAACCAAACAGAACAGTGTTCTGTTTCAACGGACCTGATTGTGCCGGATCGGGGGTGATCTGATGTAAATGGACACATGATGTCCATATACAGGTGAAACTCAAATAATTAGAATATCGTGCAAAGTTCATTTATTTCACTAATGCAACTTAAAAGGTGAAACTAATATATGAGATAGACTCATTACATGCAAAGCAAGATAATTCAAGCCGTGATTTGTCATCATTGTGATGATTATGGTCTCCATCGAGGAGCGCAGCTGTGATCATTACACCAACATGGGGTTCGGTCATTTCAGCTTTTTCCAAGATGGAGGAAAAAAGTGGATGAACACAGATGTCAAAGTGGTGGCATCCACTCCGTACTGCTCTGATCAGGAGAGGATCTGCCCCTCCGGATCAGCCTGTGTGAAAGGGACCTAATAGAGTAGGGAAGACTACCCCCCACCCGCCGTCATGGTTTTTTGTTGCTGTCTGTGTTTCCACTAGGAAGATTCACCATTGTCACTGGGATTGAGGGCCCTGTCACACCATATCCAGTGCATTCCGATCCCAGAACTCACTGGATTACATAGATCAGCCTGGGCCGCGTTCTGGGGCGGGAGGGGGCATGGTTGTGCCATTCATATCAATGGTACCGCAGGCATGCTCCCTGCTCGCAGTGTGATTGCCCGCACTGGAACGCGAGGTACAGGAATGCCCTCCGTTCCAGTGCAGTGTGATCGGAAAAAATAGTGCATGCAGCATTTTTTTAGATTGCACTGCACCAGAACGAAGGGCATACCTGTACCTTGCGTTCCGGTGCGGGTGTACTATTGACATGAATGGCATCACCATGCCCCCTCCTGCCCCAGACTGCGCCAGAGCGTATTGGATATGGTGTGACAGGTCCCTGAAGGTGAATGAAAACATAATATTTTGAGTTGTCACTGGAACAAGAAACGAGAGAAAATCTTCCAATAAGAGGATTTCTCTTGCTTTGGAGATATCCCCTCTCACTTCCTGTTGCATCTCCATGCAGGAAGTAAAGGAAAATCTTAGTAATGGGAAACAGACAGCAAAACATGGGGATTGTTCTGCCAGTCACTAACCATTGCGGCTGGTACTAAGCAGAAGAGTCATCATGTAAAATAACTGCAAACTGGGGATCTCTCTATACCTATATGTGCTGGACTTGGTGATTCCTCAATCCTACTACCTCCTGAAGAGGGTATTTTTTAGATATTCCATACAAATGGTTGAAGACATATGCTTTACAAACAACTATCATGATCCATGACATGAGATTATTTTTATCACTTGAACTGCATGTGCATCATGAAAAAGTGGACTTTGCTCCAAGGAACTTGTGTATGCTATACAATCTATGCTGTGATAATGGATCATCTTATGGTTTTTAAAAGGATAGTCCACCTTTAAAAAAAAATTATACATGCACACACGTTAATAAAAGTAAAAAATGTGCATTTCTGGATTGTTTTGCATTGAAGCCTGCAGAACATTGCAACCATGATCAGTGGAATGCATGTGCAATGTACAAGCTCCTGCAGACTGTTCCTATAGCCCAAGGGACCAGAGAGAACTACTTGACTGGAGGAATGAATCAATTGACCTCATGCGGTAACATCATCTCACTTGTATTCCATTAAGATCTACAAGTCAGACAACCATGTCTGCATACCACGGCCTTAGCAGTCAGTAGGATTACCTGGTACTTGAGGATAGTGATGGGCTCGGGCGTGTTCGCAGCTCCACGTGCCGAGCCCGCCAGGAAGCTGACAGCACGCAGCGCCAATCACAGGTACTGAGACATTTTCCCGGTCCGCAGCTGCAGAGATCGGGAAATGTCTCAGTGTCATCACTACTAGTATCCCAACCAGGATTCTTAGGTCCAAATTCCTGACACTAGGCTATTGTCAGCAGGTTGGGAGGTGTTGGCAATCAGCAGGGGCCACCCTTAAGCTGTTTTTTTTTTGTATTATTTTCTGTCTTGCGTCCTACCCCTGCAGGTGGCTCTATAACCCCATGGTTCCAGATATAAGATCTTTGCCGTGTCCTTCAATTAATGTAAAAGAAATATAGTTGTAACTTTTTTTCTGTCTCATCACTGCTGATCTCCTGCAGCTTCTTTCAGTTACTTTCTGTTCACATCATTTACTGTAATGCCACCGGCGTCCTGATAGTGACAACAGTCGACCATTACAAATCAATGTGTGTCAGAAGAACCACATGTAGTCTCTACCAGACATGCATGTGACAGGGTGACAACGCAGGAGCACAGCTGGAAGACAGTTGTGTCCTCATAACAGGAAGTGCCTGAACAAGGACCTTCATGGCAGGATCACCAGGTATTCTTTGAATGAAAGCTGCAGATTTTAGAAAATGTAATACAACTATTAAAGTGACAAAAAAGAACTCAGGGGACCTTTTTTTAATTAACCCTGGCCTTGGGGCTGCCTCTACACTGCAGGGGTTAACTGATTGTTTTGGTCTATGGAGGAAAATAACAAAGAAATACTCACCCGATCCTCTGAGCCAGCTTGCTGTTTGACTGGTCCCTGGAGCCTCTCTCCCCCTATGTGCAGCGGTCTAAGAATCTTCAAGTCACCACGTCCTATACCCAGTGTGTCCGAGGGACATATGATTACTATGGAGGATGCAGGTCTGAAAGGAACGCTGTCACAGCCAACCATCTGGAAGGATCAGGTGAGTATAACTTTGTTATTTTCCTCTCTAGGCCAAAATGAGTACTTAACCCTTGCAATGCGGGGGTAGCACCACTGCACCTGTTACAGTGACATAAAAGTCAAATTGTTTTTCCTCCCCCCCCCCCCCCCCCCAATGCTAATGTAAGGACTTACCTTAAATGATGCCTCCTTATCCGATCACCTTCTTTCCTGTAGTTTTCAAGAGTTCCGCCAGCACTGATGCCGGTCTCCAATCCAGCGCTGACTCCTCTGTGCTAGCTGGCACGTCCTGTCACATGGAGTCTGTGCGGGTACACGCTACCTCCATTGACTTACCTTGCGTATCTAGCACGCTGGCAGTAAATTTATGCAAAAAAACGCGAGGGTTTAATAATCCTTAAATGAAAATATTTCCCCAGGCTTAGATTTTGGTGATTGGATTTAGATATTTGTAAGGGGGTTATTTTTTTTTTTTTTTACAGACCTGTCAATATTTTTTTCCCACCAGTGCATTTAAACGAAAGAGAATGAATGGTGGACATAAGTTTATCTGTTACAGTACATTTATTTTTTGCAGTAAGCGCAGAGACATGGAAGGGTGCCCAGGAGCTCGGAGAATGAACCATGCCTCTTCTTAAACAGCCCAGTCTGCAGATATCTCCCTTCGTGCCAAGAGCCGCTCCAAAAACCGCAAGCTTCACATAAAAACGTTATCCGAAACGAGAAGCGCCTTCCAGCCCCAAGCAAAGCGCAGCATTGATTAAGGATGTGTTTATTTCAAAACACTGAATCGTACACATTAAAATGTATTGCCTTTGCCAGGTTGCATCAAATGAGAGGGAGGAAAGACGGGACTTGAAGAAAACCTGTGGCTTTTGAACTATTTATCAGCCACAGCAAAGAGAGAAAAACATCAGCTGTTCAATCACTTTATGATCAGCAAAGGTTAGGCTGGGATAGTACTACACTCAATGTGCATAGCCACCACAGCACGGTTTTGTGGCTTCCACATTTATATTTGCAAAAAATGCCCCAAATCTTTTTTGCTTTAAAAAAAAAAATATATATGTATATGTAATATATATATATAATATTGTGTATGTATGTATATACATACATACACAATATTGCCCTATGAATTTTTGGTATTTTTTGCTTTTACAGGCCAAGTCCACCTAAACAAATATAATATATGCATAATTCTTTATAAAAGAAAAAAATGTTTACAGTATTTATTTATTTATTTTTGCATTAGTGAATCACATGTGCATTGTTCTAGATCCTGCAGACGCTTCCTCCCATCCATGTTTATACATCGGAAGTGTCAATCGACTACAAGTGCTGTGACGTCACTGCACTTGTATCCTATTGATTCTCCATTCACAGATCCTGTCAGTGGATGTGTGAATGGATGAGAACAGGGCAGCGAGGGCAGAGCCACGCCAGAATTGAAAAATAGCAGCAGCCTGCAGGGAGGGGAACCCTGTGATTCAGGTAAGTGGGGGAGCAGGATGGGGGTGGCGATGTGACCACGTTTCATTTTATACCCTGAATATGGGTGTAACATAAAATATAGTAGAAAAGGTAGATTTGGCCTTTAATAAATTGCCTCAGCTGTCAGAAATTGTATTTGCTGTGCATGGCTTGTACAGTGTCAGCACCAATTCAGAGATGCATTAATATACATGTATTCAAATTATATGAATTATATGAAGAACTTTCCAAACCCTCTGTAAACAAATGCATTTACCTAATATCACCTAATACATATAAAGCACTGAGTATTAATTGATCCTGTACAAACTAACCAATGTATAAGGAAAATGCATTTGTTTTCATAGGTTTAACAAGTATTCTGCACTTTTGATCATTTGAATATATGTTTATTAGCACATGCTGATTTGCACATACTTGAGCTGGTTGGGTAGTGTTAAGCCCAACCAACTTAAGTTTATTCTTACATATACTCCAGTCCTCTTACATCCAGCTGCTCATAGACCTAACATGGGTTATAGAGCTCAATTTTTTCCTCCATTACAAGATAAAGCAAGAAACTGAACAAACACAAATGTCACAAAAATGGCATCCGTCCCATACTGCTCTGATCAGCAAGGGATCAGTGCACCCCCTGCTGATAGGAATGCATAGGCACCTGTTGGAAAGGGGCCTCAGTGTGTAAAGGATCAGTTAGCACTCAGCACTTTATATGTTCAGGTACATGCATTTGTTTATACAAAACGTTGGTTGCAGTTGAGCTAAATGTTTTTCATGGAAGTTCATATAACTCCATTACAGTATGTTGCCAAACTATAATGGAGTTATTATACGTGACATTTTTACAAAGTGGTAATTTATTGGAGTTTATTTTGGAGATAAAATAAAGCACTTATCTATTACTTACCTGTTTAATGCTGTTGGTAATTAACCAAACCATGAAGATTCTTGAGCTGACTTGGACCCCCGTTACTAGCACAGATGTACGCACTATACCTTGGAACAGAAAGAAAGGGGGATTATTGTTTGCATGATATGTTCCATAGAAATACATGGCAATAGGATTTATTAAAGGATCAGTCCGCCCCTAGCTGCTTTTTTCAGGTATAGGAGGGCAGAACCCTTCTCTGGTAAATATGTCACAGGCACTCCAGTGGTAAGATATTACATTCAAAGTTTCCAATTCAGTTTCTAACAACACCACAAAGGATTCCTACTCTGGTTGCAGATGGGGGATCCTAAATTACATATCTACTTTCTCTATAAGAAATTATAATAGACGCTCTAGTAATGGCAACAGCAGGTGAAGGAGTCACCAATGGAATCTTATAGATATATAAGAGGTCGATGGGTTGAGTAACCCATCAGCATTTACCTAGAACTTTAATACATCTTTTCAGTTTCCAAGTAGACTTTGACATGTTAGCACTATAGAAATCATAATAATACACATGAACAATACAGTCTAGGCATTAGGGACCTTTTCCCTATGTGTCCATAAATACATTTATCATGTTTTATAGCTAAGCTGTAACCAGCCTGAGCTGTTATTTACTGTTTTCTAGGCTGTGCAGGCCTTCCCTAAGCTCAGAGGGTTGATTGCTTTCCTTTTTTACTGTGTAGGAGGTTACGGTAATCAGTGGTGAAAGACAATTATGACTATGTATCTGACCCACCAATCCCTGAGGTCCTTGTTCAGGCATGCTTGGGGACATGATAGATATATGGAGCACCTTTCTGGAGTTTTCTCTACCTCTTAGGATTCTGTCTAGGTAGGATGTGTGTTTAGAGTGTCTTTCTACTTGGGCCTTGCCTAAACCTGGGGCACGTATTATAGGCCCAGGGACTTGAGCTACGTGTTGGAGTAGACACCTGCAGGTAGTTGGGTTGCAAAAGGATCTTATTGTTGAAGAGTTATCGCAATGGAGCTGGGCAGAAGCTAAATCTGGACATTGTAAGAAGAATTGAATGCCCTTCAATCATGGTATCTTCGACTGCTTTCAGAGAGTCAAGAGCCAGATATATTAGAGAGAGATCCACTGCAACTTAATAAAGACTGTGACTGCACTTACAGGGTCATAGAGCTAGCAATTACCAAGAGGCTGCTCTTAAAGGGCCTACTACTAGCACTGCTACTTTAGGATACCTGTCCTATTTTATTTACGATTTTTGGTTATCCTGTACCCCTAAACCCTCTCTCCCGAATCAGAGTTTAGCAAAAAAATTGACTGGCACCCAATCTATTTTAGGCCCCAGTATACACCAAGAACTAGACCCTGAGATGGAAATGTCATCCCATTTTACATTCTTAGGGGGTCATTCCAAACAACCCAAAAGGAGGAGTGCTACAAGTAATATAACTCAGAATGCAGCTTGTCCAATCACCAGAGACCAATGACAATACTGAGAGTGCAGCCTATCCATTCACTAGAGACTGGTGACAAAACTTAGAATACAACCTAAACATTCAATGGAGACTAGAGACATCACGTAGACTGCAGCCTATCCATTCACCAATAAATGATGATATCACAGAGAAGGCAGTCTATCCATCACTAAGAAATGGTGACATAATTGAAAATATAGCCTATCCCTTCATTAAGAATTGGTGAGATCACAGAGAATGCAGCCTCCTCCAGATACACCCCCCCCTCCTCCAGGCCACCATTTTTATCACTAAGCTATAAGGCAGATTAACTCACCAAGTGCGCAGTGGGCCAACTGTAAAAGAAAATACACACATCATTAGTTTATGAGAAAGTGTGTCATTATTCTTAAATTGCATGATATGTATATTAAGGAGGCTATGAACTGCAATCTTATATAGAAATATAGACAATCCAAACATGGAAGAAGCAAGGATAGGACATTTTTGTTAAAGACCTGGATTTGCAGTTATTTATGTATTTATGTATGGTGCAGCTAGCAGCAAATTATTAAAAAGGAGCAAGCTGTACTATAGGGAGTAATAAGCAGCTAAGGTTAGTTTTGGATAGAGTAGGAAGGTTAGACTCTTTCTCATGTCTTTATTGCTGCCTATGACCCTCCTGGGTAGATTAACCCTCTCTATTTACCCTGATAACCATTGTTACTGGTACAGAAAGTGATGGGAAATGCACAATTTTACAGTCACAAGAGTTAAAAAAAAAAAAAACATCTTCCAGTGGGGACACCTGTTTCAGTGACAGCTGTCTAAGACTTATTATAGAGAGGTTTCCTCTCACTTCCTGTTGCTAAACATCTTGGCTTAAATACACACTTTCCAGGCAGTGTTCCTGGAAAGTCAATGGAGAGCAAAGAAAAGGCGTTGTTGATTATAAGCCATTCAGCTTCATTCACCCATTCAGTCTTGCCATAAGAATGCCAAGGAACACACATCAAATGCTGTCTTTTGATGCTCGTGTGTATAAGGAAAAGGACTTTCAGTATATCTAATTAAATAGCATGGTTAGATACAAATGAAAGAGTTATACATGCTAAAGAGCAGCACATTTACCTCAAATAAAGCAAATGTTTGGAAAAATTTAAGAGTCTTCTGAATACTTCTGTAGAGACCTTTGTGCGTTCTTTTGCCCATGTAGAACCGAAACATCGCAATGGCGAGAACCAGCCACCTGCAGGGTCAATTCATTGCATTAGTAAAAAATTATATATTACTTTCCATTTTGCTGTTTCCTAATAAAGTCTTACCAAAAAAAAACAACTACGCTGCTCACAGAAAGGTAATTAGCTAAATAGTTTAGATTGGGGGGAGTGTGGCAGTCAGCACAAGACTCCTCTTCCCAGTGAATATAAACACAGCAGCACTTGGTCACAGCAGAGGGCATTAACATCATAGCTATGCTGAGCTACATAATAGGAATGGCCACAAATAGGGCTCCGGCCAGGGGAGGAGCTGGAGACAGTGATGGAAGATATAAAGAATGGATTTACTGTACAACCCACCGTCAGGTCCGATCATAATAAGTCGGGATGCACCAATACTGATACTAGTATCGGTGCCGATATTGAGTATTTGGGCAAGTACTCGTACTCGCCCAAATGCTCCCGATACTTACCCCGATAATGGAACTTCTGGTCAGAGGGGAACACTGAGCCGGCTTCCCGGCCAATCAGGAAGTCGGGCAGCAGGTAATGACTGGCTTCCCGGGCATTCAAGAAGCCGGAGGTGGCGTGTCATTACCCGCCGCCCACCTTCTTGATTGCCCGGGAAGCCAGCTCCATGCTAGCTGCGGGGATCAAAGACAACTACATTGTAATACTGTACTCCCAGGTATGCAGGACAAGTGTACATGGGACAGGGAGAGAGTTTTCAACCCTGTGTAAGCTCCAAGTCATAACATACAGCAGCATTTCTCAATTTCTTTCCAGCCATGGTACTCTTTAAAATCATGCAAAATCTCAAGGCACCCTATTCTAAAATATAATGGATTTTAAGGGGGCTACCCCATGCAAAAATACAAAAAAGTAGAGGTTCCCCTTTACATTAAAGTCTCCTCCTTGAATCAGGAACCCCCTTCAGAGCCCCTTTTATACCAGAGTCCCCCCTTCACATCAGAATCCTACCATCACATCAGGAGCCGCAGCTCCTGATGCATGGTATAGTGCAGTCCACAAAATTTCAAGGCACCCCTGAAGAAGCCGGAAGACACCCCAGGCTGCCACGGCACCCTGCTTGAGAAAGGCTGCCATAGAACTTACACAAGACTTCCTCCCTTACCTCCATGAGCCTGAACAAAGTAATGGGGGAGCAAAGAAAAGAAGAGTATGTGTTGCTGGAGAGGGCAACAGGTAAGTGAACCAGTTGCTTTGACCTTCTTTAGCAAGGAACAAGTTCCCTTTAATAAAGTCCACGATAAGAAGTATTGGATTGTCATTACAGCATGGGATGCAAATATCTCAGTTAAGACTTGTAGAGTAAGCATATGCCAATAGAAGTGTCAAGTGCTACTACGTAACACCACATAGCTAGCAGGAAGACGGGGGACTTAGAGACTCTACACAACCACTAGAGGAGCAACCTGCAGCTACCAAAGATCGAATTTGAAAAGTTTCCATTAACCCATGAGGAAGGGCAGCTACTTCTGGCCTGGAGGTCGGGCAAAGTTGGGCATCATTTCAGCACCAAGAGTTATGGTATAGAATTATAAGATGAAATTATCCAAGATGGTTCAAAGACAAAATGTTTATTTTAGGGCTAGTTCACACCAAGCGCGGAGCAGGTGCAGAGCAGAGCAGACCGGATCAAAACTGCGTCCAATGTATTCCTATGGTATTTTTAGCTCCAGTTCACATTGCAGCGTGCAGGTCCAGAGCAGGTAAAAAAACTGCAACAGGCCCTATTTTACCTGCTCTGGATCTGCAAACGCATCAAAAACGCATGCAAATGCCTGGAACGCACTGAAAGCCCATGTTAAACTAAAAAACAAACAATTTTTAGACAAAAACGCATCTAAAAGACTAGCGTCCGTGTGCAGAAACCTGACCGGATCTGCTCTGCATTTGGTGTGAACAAGGCCTTAGTCTTGGATAGCGTGCTGAGTGGTTAGAACCCTTGCCTGGTTTTTATTGCTGTCTGTGTCTCTGTTAGGGAGGGTAACACTCTCGATTTGTCCTGGGGACCATTGTCACTGGGACTAAAAGTGAAAGAGAAACCAACATTTTAAGTTGCTACTGGAGCAGAAGTTGAGAGGAGATCTTTTCACAGTGACACTTGTACTAGTGACAACTGTCTAAGAGGACATTTACCTCACTCATTTCTCACTGTTGTTGAACACAACAGGAAGTGAAGGGAAATCTCCCCAATTAGAGAGAAATATTAAAAAAACTGACAGGGGTTTTCACCATTCCCTACTCCATCCAGAATGAATATAAACGTTTCGGCTTTGACCTTCTGCAGGATACTCTTGGCTATGGCTGTTTTCTGTCATGGAAAACTGTAAATTAAAATGGGAAACATGACTGTTTTCAGGGCAGAAGTATCAGTTATACACCTTTAAAGGTGCTTTGTACAGCGTCCTTTACTGTATTGTTTCCTAAGCATGTGCGACATTGAAGGAATGTCTCCCATCCTTTTTTAACTCACTCCCATTAAGGCCAACTCAAGCTGGATTTTCTGTGGGATATTGTGGTAAAGAGCTAAAACCGAACTCCAAGGTAAAGCCCTTCCTCCTTTGCAGCCTCTATATATATATTCTGAAGGTTGCAGCTCTCAAATGTCTTTATTCTCAAAATTCACCCATATGAAAGCATACCTAGTATGTGCCTAAGTACAGGGCCGGCCTTAGGGGTGTGCAAACAGTGCGGCCGCACAGGGCTGTAGCAAAACATGTAACTTCATAGAACAGTGTCGGGCTGGCAGCACAGCCCTTCGTCAGGTTTGACATACATTGAACAGACTGGGCAAGGTTTGATTGTGTATAGACCCATCATTTCGACCGTGATTGTGTTCATTCCTGTGCCACAGTGAAAACATCCATACTATAACATCCAGCTAGAAGTGAACAAGGAAATCAGGGATTCTAGGGGGAGAAAAGTTAAAGGACAACTATGAGGTGAGTGCTTTTCACTCACCTCATAGTTCTAGCCGACCTGTGGCAATGAGACTGTCACAGGTCGGCTCAGTAGATCGGGAGGTGAGCGAACATATACCGGCGTTCGCTCACCTCTTGATCCTGTCACGGCTCCGATCCGCCAGCGCTGACTGGCGGAACGGACGGGGGAGGGTGCGGGTACAGCTGGCTCTGCCTCTAGATAGGCAGAGCCAGCTGTCAGTCACGCAGCTGGGTCGGATCCCGGCACAATTGTCGGGATCTGCTTCAGCTGCGGCATCTCAGTATACAGCGAGCTACAGCGAGCTATATACTGAGCCTAGGGTGACGGGAGTACGCTAGTTTGTGTCCTCCCGTTACCCTAAGGAGAACTATGGGGAAAAGACTTAACCCCATAGTTCTACTTTAAATCTAACAGCCAACAATGTGGTTTCAAAGATCCAGTAAATATGTGTTTGTATTAGATGCAGTAGGAAAGGCTAAAACATTTAGGGAATAGGATTACTGGCTTTGATCCACATTTGATCATTACTATAATGATGCCAATCACTGTCGCCATGACGGCCAATCACTAACCAAGTAAGTCTGCCTATGAACAAAGTGAAAATTGAAGTTACCATTATAAGCTATCTCTTGCTTCACACACTGCTTTTGTGTGTTATCTCTGTAACATATTAGGCAATATATCACGCAAACACCAAACCTGCACTACTTCCATGTATTTCGAATTATATTAATGAGGAGCGCTGGACTACTTAGTATGTGATGGGAGGTATGTGGAGACTGGTAACCATCCTATTAGTCCCTATAGAATAGTGAAAGGAAATTTGAAGAAATAAGCACCACTCTACAGGTAGAAGTTTATGATAAGTTTTATTTGAATTAAATGAGGTGAGCCAACATCTTTTGAGAAGCTGTAAGTTCCCTTCTTCAGGGCTGGAGAAACAGAGGAACAAGATCTGGACTGAAAAATCAGTGAAATTGATAGATGCTGTGGATTAGTTTGTCTACTGTTCCATCTGAAGTTCAGCAGAACACTTGAGCAGCAACAGGCAACACAACAGAGCTTATCAACTGTAGCAGGACTGCTTAGTAAATTTAGTATTGTCAGATTGTAAGCAGTCTGATGCTGATTTGTAGTCTATGCTCATTTGGTTTTCCCTAATCAGTCATCGTTTGCATCTGTCTGCTGATGGGTGTACTCTGGCCACAGAGCAGAGCAACCAATGAGAGAGTATGTATGTCTCCCTAGCCAATCACTGGGACCACTTGAGGCAGAAGTCACCAGTCATCTTCGTCCTTGTCATCAGTAGTAACCACTGGGCCTCCAGACTCAAGCATCAGTGTAAGCACATGGCTAGTCCCCAGGCTTCAGGGCTAGCCAAATCAGAGAGTCCATGGCAACCTCCCCACAGGCAAGGCCCGGGGGAGGAAGAGAGAGCTCACATTGCCCACCCCAAGTATTTATCTCCTCTCCCAGCATGCATCCATTGGCCATTAACATTAACCATGGCAACCTCCCCACAGGCAGGGCCCGGGGGAGGAAGAGAGAGCTCACATTGCCCACCAAAGTATATCTCCTCTCCCAGCATGCACCATTGGCCATTAACCAATGGCCAATGGTGCATGCTGGGAAAGGAGATAAATACTTGGGGTGGGCAATGTGAGCTCTCTCTTCCTCCCCCGGGCCCTGCCTGTGGGGAGGTTGCCATGGACTGTCTGATTTGGCTAGCCCTGAAGCCTGGGGACTAGCCATGTGCTTACACTGATGCTTGAGTCTGGAGGCCCAGTGGTTACTACTGATGACAAGGACGAAGATGACTGGTGACTTCTGCCTCAAGTGGTGCTGTACCAGGTGTTCTTCATGTTGTGAATGGTGACAGCTAATGCGTCCTACAACTTAAAGGAGTCTATATTAGCCTGGATGATTCTGACCCTCAACCTCTCTCCCTGAAGTTGTTAATAAAAGTTCTTCAGCATCATATCTACCGTCTGGACATCTCTTTTATCGGTCACCATAGAGGGTGGTAAGTGCTAATGGGTAAAATGAATCTGGATGCCCC